TGAGAGATACAATTTGTCAAGCGCAGGAATGACTTTTAAAACTTTGCCTGTCACACGCCGGCGCAGGGAAATAAAGGTCGATTCAGACACATCAGTCACGTCTCGTCACAGTCCTGGCGCCGAACCGAACAATCCGTCATACAAAATATTCCTTAATAGAAATATGGCGCCGGCATTCTGTCAGATAGTTGATAGTTCTGTGACCAAATAGGAACGGTTCGGCGCCGATACTGTGACGGGACTGATGTGTCTGAATCGACCTTTATTCGGAGAGAAAACATTGGAATACGCCAGGACTCGGCTACGTGATTTTTAAACATAGTTTAAAAAGTCGAGTTTACTTCTCTTACTAAGATAGTTAGGTAATTTTGCTGCGCATCAAGTGGGTGTGCCGATTGTAGTATTTTCAAAGCCATTCGTAGTTTTGACAAAGTGTAAATGATGTACTTCAACGTTACATTTAAAACTACCTCTATTCCGTTGAAATTATGGTCAGTTTATCTTTTAATTTTTTTCCTTGGTATTTTGGGAATTTATTCTCAGAATAATATCAGCACTTCAGTGACCTACTACAAATCTAAATATCAAATTTTGTGACGCCTAATAAGTCAAAAAATATAAATAAAAATATATCAATAAAAATGAGTTAGTGCTTACTGAATTGTATACTACTGTGGTAGATAAAACTTTGTACATTACATTTTCTGTCAGTATTATATTATATCATACATCACTTTTTTATTTATCACCATAGTATTTAGAATTTGAAACGATTGTTAAACTTTTAGGTATAATCAAATTTTATAACCAAAATAATTATGTATTTGAATGTACAAATTGTAAAGTATGTATTATTGTATTAAGTATGTAAGTATTATTTATTATAGACGTATACAAAATAGCTATTGTGTTTTAATGTAATTTGTGCCAGTACAGTTGTCGAATTTGTCTAAAACGTCACAATAAACTTTTAAAACCATACCTTTACTTTTTATCATTTCCGCAAAGGCTTCTACTGTGGTCCTTGAAATAATTTATGACTGAAAGCCATTAATAGACAGATAATTTAAGCACAGCATCACTTATTTAAATAGGTAAAAATATATACATACAAAAGAACAACGATTGCCTTCTAGAATGTACTACAAAAATAAGAAGACATTTTTAACAGTTTTTTTCTTACAACCTAATAAGTCTAGGATCATTTTAGCCAACAAAATAACGAACGAAGTTACTTGGTATTAGAGGTAGATAATCCACAATACACCCTGACATTTGAGAAGTGGACAACTTGCGCCATAGAATATTTTACAATCCTGTACCTCCAAGAATCGGATCCCACTAAAAAAACAAAATCCTAGCTTATTGTATGTTGACAGTAGAAGAAATTGCAAACCAGATATTAAAAAACTAATTATAACTGAAGACCTGAACGCTAAATCAGTACAATGGGGAGCACTCCAAAATCATGATAGGACAGACATGTAGGATGACTAAAGGTCGATTCAGACACATCAGTCCCGTCACAGTCTCGGCGCCGAACCGGTCCTTTTTGGTCACAGAACTATTAATTATCTGACAGCTGGGAAACTGTTCGTCGCCTGAACATGTGAATGCCCGCGCCATATTTCTTCTTCTTCATGTGCCTTGTCCGTTCCGAACGTTGGCAATCAACATGGCTATTCTGACTTTGTTTACGGCAGATCTGAATAGTTCAGCAGATGACAATCCGAACCATTGCCGCACGTTTTGGAGCCACGAGTGTCTTCTCCTCCCTGGACCCCTTCTGCTGTCTATTTTCCCTTGAACGATCAGCTGTAGTACTCTATATTTATTATGTCTCATAACGTGACCCAAGTATTCCAACTTTCTTTTCTTTATACTTATTCCTACCTCTCTCTCTTTACCTATCCGGCGTAGTACCTCTTCGTTGGTCATGTGCTCAGTTCAGGATATACGTAATATACTTCGGTAAGCCCACATTTCGAAGGCCTCTACTTTTTTCATCAATGTTGCGGTCATTGTCCACGCCTCCATTCCATATAACAAAACCGGGAATACATAACATTTCAGAAGTCGAATTTTGAGAGGTAGAGTGAGGCTTTTAGAGGTGAAAATTTGCTTCATGATAGTGAACGATGCGCTTGCCTTTTTTACTCTTATACGTATTTCCTTTGATTGATCCCAATTTGAGTTAACTGTTGTTCCCAAGTAGATGTACGAATCCCCGTGTTTAATTCTTTCATTGTCTAATATCAGTTGCTGTGGTGGTTGTTGGGTTTTGCTTACTAACATCCATTTGGTTTTTGTGATATTTAGTCCATGCTACTTGCTAGAATCACAGTGTCATCAGCATACCTTATGTTATTAATTATTTCTCCATTTATCTTTATTCCTTCTGTGCTTTCCTCCAGCGCTGTCTTAAATACTTCTTCTGAGTATATATTAAAGAGAATAGGAGACAAGATACAGCCCTGTCGTACCTCTTTCTTGACCTCAATTTTATTGGTCAATGTAGATCCTACTTTTACTTTAGTTGTTTGACCCCAAAAGAGACTCGCTATTGTTCGAATGTCTCTGTAGTCGACTCCCATTTTATGAAGAACTTCAATTATCTTTTCGTGCTTTACGTTATCGAATGCTTTTGCGTAGTCTATAAAGAATATTTTTATTATAGCCATATTTCTATTAAAGAATATTTTGTATGACGGATTGTTCGGTTCGGCGCCAGGACTGTGACGAGACGTGACTGATGTGTCTGAATCGACCTTAAATCCTAACAATGAACTTGACAGTAGGTAAACGTGACAATGGTAAACCGACATTTATAAGAGGAGACAGCCAGACGCCTATAGATATCATGCTAGCGACGAAAACAATGAGAAAGAAGGTAACGGAATAGGATGTGCTGGAATTAAAAATCTTTACTTATCATAAACATATTATACTTAAAATAAAATAAGACTTAAACAATAAACAGTGTACGATAACCCTAACAGTTTCACAGAAGGCTACGAAAAGACTAAAGAACTGGTCAGAAAGTTGTGCCTACAAGGCAGAAGAACAAGAAACCGCACACATTGCTGGACGGATAATATAGGGGGAATAAAGAAAATATATATTGAGTTAGGAAGGAAAGTCGCTAGAGACAGAAAAAATTCACTTGGTGATGGCTGAGGTAGAGCAACTAAAACATTCAGGAAAGAACTAAAAAAAGAAATTAATAAAGATAAAAAAGATGCTGGAATGAACTTTGCGAAAATCTAGAGAAAACATTTGGGGAGATGCATATAAAAGTCACTCAAAACTGAATAGGCAATACAATTCTAAAACTGATGAAAATGTTGCCAATGTGAGTCCAATAAAAACTACTTAAGATTCTAAGTATTGACTCATTTCCCATACACTACAATTCTAAAAATTGAAGAAAGTCATATAAAAGAAGTAGCAAAGGAATTATTTCCGAAAAGAGAAATAATTTTAGGCCAGAACAAACAGGAATGTCAATAAATGAATTGTCAAAAGAAGAAGGAAACACGAATGGAAGCAAAAAACACATTAAAAAATATGCTAGAAAAGCACCAGATCCGGACAAATGTTTACCTTTATGCTGGAAGGAGAAAGAATATTTTCAGTAAACAAGGTGAAACATTTTATATATATATATATATATATATATATATATATATATATATATATATATATATATATATATATATAAAACAAAAACACGTCAAGCCCAAGAAACTATCCAACATCTTACCCGGGGCTGCCAGGCATTTGCTGCAACTGAATATAAGGAACGGCATGACTCAGTAGGGAAGATCCTCCATCAAGAGATAGCTTTTAAACTGGGACTTCTACAAACAAACCATCTCTCATATGACAAATACATTTGTCATATGGGACATAGAAATATTTGAGAATGACAAATACAAGCTATACTAAGATCGCACTGTGCTCACAAACCAAACTGTAGCACATAATAGACCAGGTCTCGTGCTAGTTAATAAACTAACAAGACAAACATCACTAATCAATGTGGCGATACCTAACAACAATAATCTGCGTGTTAAGTACAAAGAAAAGATTGTCAAGTACAGAGATCTGGAAGTACAAATAAGGAGACAATGGAGAATGGAAGGTACCCAGAAGATACCTATCATGGACGTATAAATCTACTATTCTTTCTACCACTGAATTCATTCTGAAGAACCTCATAGAAAACATAAAAAGCTGGGTCTAAATCATAATCAAGTCTATATAAGATCATGCAGAAAGATGTTCTACTTTTGACATCCAGATGCATGCAAAAATTTTGCATGCAAGTCACATAGGACTCTATAACATAAAAAGAGTCCCACCTCAATCCTTTTGATACTGTAGGTATCTGGGATGAGCGAATTTTTCCCTTAGAAGGAATGTGAGCCGTATGGCTAAATCTGAACAATAATAATAATATTAAGAGAGACAAATATAAACACTTCTTAAAAACTTTTGAAACCAAATCATAGCAGGCACTGATTACAAAGCTAAAAATATACTATGGTGAGCTCGAGCTACAGACCCTAAAGGTAATGAGCTATTAAATAAAATGTCTTCCAATATTCTAAACTATGTGTCAACAGGAGAACCCTCACATTGGCCTTTGGACTTCAATAAAATACCAGATCTTGACTTCACTACAGTCATAATGCATATTTACTCCTACATAATTCACAAACCAATGTATCCTATATCCTACTCTCTGAAACAAAAACGCAAATTGGGAAACACTAGAAACAGAGTTTCTATATGAAACAATATACTTTAAAATGCCATTAAAAACACCTGTAAATGTCGAATTGGCAGTAACTAATCTCCTGCATAACATGCAGAACCATTGATTCAGCAAATTTGTGTGTTTATGTACAACTATAGTACAACCTGGTACCACCACGACAGATTTAAATTGTAATGTCTGAAGTTTTTACATATAATATTAAATAAAACCCAATACATTTAACATAAAAATACATTTTATTCAAACATTACTCTTTGTCCCCAATAAGTAAAATGAAAATCAGTTTCACAATAAATTTTAACGCTTTTATATTAAGTGATGGCAGTTTTGTTTTATAAACATTTGTTATTATCAATAAAATGTTGATTTTTATAACTTTAGTAATGATCTTTAATGGTAATCTATTATCAGGTGAAATACAATTTGTTGTCACAAATACAATTTACATAAACTGAATGATAAAGGGTCTCTTTTTGTCATGAATTTACAGATAATTAAGAAAATGATCAAATTTACATTTGTAAACTCCAAAAGGGAGAGCAACTTATGAAAATTACATTTAGGTATACATTGGTTCTAATGAATCTTCTGTATCTTAGATGAAGTACAACATTTTAATCAATTTTTGCAAATTGTATCAAATAATAATATAACTAATGATATGGTTAAGAGCATAGGCACAAAATTTCGGGCCAATGCTTTTTAAATCTACCTATTTGTTTTTTTTTTCGAATCCTGAGAAAACTAATAAGTATTATTGAAAAATTTAAACGCAGAATGAAAGAATACATTATTACTGAGGGCCTAAAGTCCCTGAAAACTTCTATAATGTTTATTTTAATAAGTTACAGGGGTGAAAAAGAAGAGAAAATTTAGTGTGATTTTTAATTTCAAATCTCATTCAAAAAAAGTTTTTTGTTTATTCTAAGGGACTTTCGGCCCTCAGTAAAAATGCAGTCTTTCATTCTGCATTTAAATTTTTCAAAAATATTTGTTAGTTTTCTCAGGATTTGAAAAAAATGAATGCATTTAAAAAGCATTGGCCGGAAATTTTGCAGCTCCGCTCTTAATATAAAAAGCAAATATCAAAATACATTGCATTTGACAATAAATGATAATTTATTACCATCACATTTTAAGAAAAAAATCTATAAATATAAATCAGTACATAAGCAGTCTAATATCAAACACAGCAAACCACATGTAGGTATGACCATTTCTTACCTTTTTACCAAACTGAAGTGAATAACATCTGCCTATTTCACTATTAGTCTTTAAAATAATCTACAAGAACAAAAGAGTTTATTTTAAATTTAAAAATACCAGCCTTTTAATATAAGTTTTGTTGAAATTACTAACAAACAGATCAAACTTAGACAGAAAATATAATAAGCTCTTTATAGATGATTCACCATTTAAAAATCTGGGAGAAAACCTACATTCTGGATAATGATCATGAAATTATATACACAATGAATAGATAGAGTATTGTTGCAGTAAAATATGTATTTTATTTATTAATATCTCAAAATAGGATTTTATCATGTTTGATATTAGACCCCTGATGATTAGTTCTAATTAAACAGGTTTAGTTGGACAAATGTAATATCTTTGTTTCCAAAGTCACCATACCATTTTGTTCACTAGATTTAAAACCTAAAAGTCAATATTGTTCTTTCTTCCACAAGAGGGTAGGTATATAAGATATATAAATAGGATTAATACAGTCAAATCAAGTCTATGTCTCCAAATTGTCAAGTTCTGATTTTGCTATCCTTTCCAAGTCGTCTAAACTAAGGCTCTCAACCTTGGAATGAAAATTTCTCATAAATTCATCTACTATAACTTTGCACTGTTCATCTGAATAGTATTTTTTTAAGAAGGTATGTAAAATAGTGTTGAATGCTTCTGGTTTCTTTATTGCTACATAAAGTTTGGTTCCTTCTTTTATTTTAGGATATTCACTTAAACATTTATCATCTTGCAAGCATTTACCATGCAAAATTATTGTTTGTTGAAACACTGGAATCTTTAGATCTTTCTCCACTGTTTTTTTCAGTTCTGCCACAGTACTAGTTTCACTCACATCTACTAAAGTACTTCCTCCATTTAAACATTTTATGGTAATCTTCATTTTCGGTTTTGTTAATTAAAATATTTTATTAAATTAAACGTGATTATAATTATTTTTTAGAAACTTCGAAGTTAAAATTTTATATTGTAATTGTCAATGTCATAATTTCTTCTGCCATTTCTGCCAATGTCATTTTCTGTGAAACACAGAATTGTTTCCGAAACAATTGTTTCTTATTCTGTGTAAAATAATCAAATAATTTGTGTATATAAATAGAAGTAGCACTGTAATTTTGAAAATATTAAAAATATTTAATAATTACACAGAAATAATTATTAATTGGTTTCTTTTATCGAAATATTGTAGTTCTGTATTGAGAGTGTAAGTTTTGAATGTTTGAACAATCTGAGATCTGAGATCAAAAGGAAGAAGAGTGTAACCTCTATAACAAACAACTTTTAACTTTTAAATTTTTATTATTGACAAATATTCGAAAAATTTAATGTTAACAGGGTGATTTGTGACGAGCAACAGTATAAAGTCAACATTAAACAATCATACCTAAAATACGTTTTAGGTATGAATATTACTACATTCCTTAGAAAATTTTCTCTATGTAGTTGCCTACAACGGAAAGTAACTACCAATGCTCTTAAATCTAAGACAAAAAATACCAGTTCAAAACAGTGGCTCTCCAGACAACTATCAGATCCATATGTGGAAAAAGCTAAACTAATGAATTATAGATGTCGCAGCGCCTTTAAATTACTAGAAATAAATGATAAGTATCATATCTTAAAACCTGGACATGTGGTTCTCGACGTGGGTGCAGCTCCAGGTTCTTGGTCTCAAGTTTTAGCACACACAGTTAACTCAAATGAAAGTGACAAGGACTTACCAACTGGTGTAGTAATTGCCATTGATAAACAAAATATTTATCCTATAGATGTAAGTATTGTTGTTGCATTATCTTATCAAACATCCCAACCTGTAATCTCTCTTCAAAGCTGTTATATATATGATTGACATAAGAAACTAGGTTGACATCTGTTGACCTCCCTCTCATAAAGCCAAATTGTTCAGGATTAAAAATGCCCTCTACTTTGATCTTTCTAGTGTTGGACAAATTCCTAGCTAGTTCACAACAGGAATTCTTGAAAAAGTGACCCAATAATCTTCTATTGCTGGTAGCTGTATTACCCCCATAAAAATCAAAATGGAGAAAAAGTCTGTGATGTCAGAAGTGTTTGTGATGACAATTACTCCAGTTTTTTGTGTACTGTATAAATTCTGTTTTTATGTCACTTTCAGACCAGTTATAATATACTGACTCCAGTACTTTTTTAAGTTCTTTTGGCGGTTCTTTATGCTTGTCTTTATTTTTCGTTTGATTAGGCTCTTTTTCAGTTAACAGTTGATGATTATTAGGTTCATCATCTTCATCTTGGTCTGCAAACATTTTTGCTACATGATTTTTATTCAACAAAATAATATGATTACTTATCATATACAGCAAACAGTAATACATAATTACACTAAAACAACCTTTGTTAATCTATGAAATAATAAGCTACCCTCAGAATTCTCCTAACAAACATTTGGCAATAAAAAATATGACACGCCCACTTACACATAGACCTCTACTGTTATCTCATGTACTCAAATTTTTTTTTCAAATATATCTATGGAATGTTAAATGTCCCCACCAGTTTTATATAACTAATATGACTTTTTGCTTACATTTATCATTGTCACATAACAGCTATACCGGGTGGTGAATCTCCAAACGGGCCATAGGAAATTCTAAATTGTTGAATTCCTGCTTCCCTAATTATTTTACATCAAAAGTCATAGGAAACTATTTGTAGAGGACTGAAATATGTATTAAAAACAAATGTTAAAATTGTTCTACGAATTATACGTATTCCAAAATTTTGTAAAAATATAATACATTTTTCAGGCCACACTTTGAAGTCAGGCCACACGAGATACAAGAATGTGTATGATATGTTGCGTTTAGTCATATTGATGATTCTGATATTTGACAATATTTGAATTGTCAATATTTTTATCTTGTGATTAAATTATACACAAATACTAAAATACGCACATCTTTACAAATACTACTACTACTAGTGTAATGTTTGTTTTTCTAAATTTTGTTACCTTAGCAATATTGTTTGTAGAGGTACAATTAGAAATCACAGTCCCATTATTTTCAAAATTTTGTAAAATCCTTTGATGATTTTGAATTGGTCTATTGGAATATCTTACGCTAAATAAAGAACTGACAATTCGCGTGCCTGAATTCGTTTTATTCGCCTGAATAAAACAATTTTATTATTGCTAGTTTCTCCTCAACTGAATACATTTTTTAATCAACTATAGGTATTGTTTTTTAAACAATAAATCACAAAATTTAAATTTTGGAAACTGCAACATGTCATTAGAGACCGACCGATTAATCGGCTTCGGCATCGGCTTCGGCCACCTTCGGCCAATATTTAAACCTTCGGCCAAAATTCGGCTTCGGCCAAAACAAAGCCGAAGGTTTTGCCGAAGGTGACTATAGAAATGAAATAATCTCTGAACAATACGCTTCGGCGAGTCTTTGATAATTTGAATAATATTTACACACTATTTTCTACCCTCAACTAAAACGTTTTACAAACTTTTAGTTCAGGTAATAGTAGGTAGGATATAAATTTTAACAATAGGCCAAGATGTCTTAAAGATCTTCATTTGAATATTTCTCATGTAGTAAAATTATGACAATAATTTTATTGTATTTGTTAAAACTCACGATTACTGGTGTTTTGAATAGATACCTAAATGGCAAAACATCGACCATCGACTATGAATGCAAATATTAAATATTTTACAACAGTTTAAGTTGATTCTCTCTTAGGTGCAGCTTTGCTAATAGTACTTATTTACCCGTGAAATATATATATTATAATTTACGTTGCAAAATCAGTTCAGGTTTTTGTTCTAGTGTTGTAAAAATAACTTTTGGTAAGTCTGTAATTTTTATTTTAATATAATTTTAGTAAATTCAAACGTTTTTAGATAATGTCAATAAAAAATCCAATTTGGGATTATTTTGAAAAAAGTGGCAACAAAGCTGCATGCAAACTATGTTCAAAGTCATTATCGCTTGGCAGTTTAATACCTAAAAAACAAACTATTACAAACATTAAAAATCATCTACAAAAAATCCATACAGAAGAATGGAAATCATTTTGTGACATTGAAATGGGAATAAAAGTTCGAAAATTGGAACATATGAAAACTCCACATGATGTTACACAACCAGTTTCCAGGACATTTCAGCCCAACCTACATCAAATAATGGAACTTAAGTCACCTGCTCTATGGCCTGATGATCATCCGATATCATCTAGGATTGATAAGGGTATCATGGACCTTATTATTGTCGACATGTTACCATACTCTATCGTTGAAGGAGAAGCTTTTCTGCGTTTAAATTTTGGAGATCCTAATGGTACTTCCAAATACAGAAAAAAAAAACGGAAAAGTTTTTTAGAACTAGTTTAATGCCAGCTACCTATGACAGAGTTTGGAAAAAAGTATCAAATTTAGTTTCTAAAGCCGAATGGATAAGCTTTATGTCAGATATTTGGAGCAATCCTGCTAAAACCTGTTCTCTTTTGAGTTTTACAGCTCACTTTGTTCATGGTTCAAAACGTCTTAAAGTTATATTGGGCGCTAGTGTGCTTAATGATGACCACACTAGTATGTTTATTGCAAGTAAACTTAATGAAATAATTAAAAATTTTAAAATAGAAAACAAAATTCATATAGCTGTAACTGATAACGCAGCAAATATGGTCGCGGCTATTCGTATTACACAATTTACATCTCTAAGATGTGTGGTTCACTCATTACAACTTGTAATTCATGATTCTTTATTAAAACAGGAATTAATTGAAAACACAATTAAAAAATGTCGTAAAATTGTGGGACATTTTAAAAGGAGTGAACAAGCGTGCAGGTACCTGAGGCAGTTTCAACAAACTTGCAATTTGCCACAGCATATGTTAATTCAGGATGTGGAAACAAGATGGAATAGCAATAAATTTGTATATGGCTGAACGTGGTGGTATTGAAGTTCCCAGTTCAACAGAATGGGAATTGATCAACAATTTAATTTCAGTTTTAACTTGTTTTTTACCAAGCGACGCTAGATCTTTCAGCCGATTCTGCTTGTGTATCATTGGTTATCCCACTAATAAAAATACTAAATGGTAAAGTTTCTGCGAAAGAGCAGGACGCTGAGGAGATAAGTTTATTAAAGCTACCACTTCGTGAATCATTAATTAAAAGATTCGCTAATATTACAAATTTGCCAGAATTATAAATTGCGACTCTTCTAGATCCTCGCTTTAAAACAAAATATTTGACAGACGAGGAAGTAATTACATGTAAAGCAAGAATTTTAAAATTTCTACGTGAATCTGATAGCTCAAGTTTAGTTATACAAATAAAGTTCCTATGGCTATCGCTTCAACATCATCATCTACAACTACACATGTAAAAGATCTAGAAAACAATAGTCTTTGGAATTCACATGATACTTTTGTCACAGCCGTTCTAGATACAACAAAAGAAATTCATAACGACAACGATCCCAATGCAGATTACCTAGATTCGTATTTACGAGAGGCTTTGCTTTTAAGAAGTGCCGACATATTTCATTATTGGGAATCAAGTCCCTATATTTCTTTAAAAACTGCAGGCAAAAAATTTCTATCGGCACCACCAACGAGTGTACCTAGTGAGCAGTTATTCAGCTCTGCTGGGCAACTATACGCTGACAGAAGAACTAATTTGTTGGGAGAAAACGCTGACAAGCTTCTTTTTCTTACGTATAATATTAGGATGTTTGATTTCGAATATTAACTACCAGATCCAGTAATCATAAATACTCACTTGCTTTAATGTTTTTTAATGTTATTTATTTTTATTATCGCTTGTATTACCAAATAATGTATAAATATTTGACTTTTTTATCTCATAATTTTATATTTTTGTTTATCACTTATCAGTTAATAAAAATATAATGCACATTATTTAAATTATTAACATATAATAGGTAATAGGTATATTTTTAGTCACCTGAAGGTATCCTTCAGGCCGAACTTCGGCATCGGCTTCGGCCAAAAAAATCACATTCGGTCGGTCTCTACATGTCATACACATTCATGTACTTCATGTGGCCTGAAGTTAAGGGGTGGCCTGAAAAATGTATTATATTTTTACAAAATTTTAGAATACATTTAATTCGTAGAATAATTTTACCATTTGATTTTAATACATATTTCAGTCCTCTTTAAATAGTTCCTTTTGACTTTTGATGTAAAATAATTAGGGAAGCAGGAATTCAACAACTCAGAATCTCCCATTGAATTTTCTATGGCCCATTTGACGATTCACCACCCTGTATATAGTAGATACTGACTTAGGTGTTTATAAAGATGATGTTGCCTGAGAGCAACAAAACCAGATACTGGGTTAAAAATAAATGTTCTAAAAAATAAAAGAATTGAATAAAAATGTTTTTGGAGCCATATAATTCATAATCTGATTTGTTTACTAAATATTTTATGTGGTTTTAGGGTGTACATATTTTTGGCAATATGGATTTTACAAGTATAGAAACACAGAAGAAAATTTTAGAATTTTTAAATAAGAGAACAGTGGATGCAGTTGTGTCAGATATGGCGCCTAGTGCTACTGGTATAAGATATATGGACAATGAAAATATGTTAAAATTGTGTTATAGCGTTTTAAGATTTGCTCTAGAGATATCTGTTAAAAATGCATCATTTTTAGTTAAATTGTGGCAATGTGGTGAGACAAAACAACTAGAAAATGATATTGCCCAATTTTATAATAAAGTTAAAGTAGTTAAACCAAGTGCTAGTAGGTCAGATTCAACAGAAATCTATTTATTAGGTAGAGAATTTAAAGGACTTAAAACTTGATATTTGTATATAGCTGTATGTTAAAACTAAATAAATCACTGTAATCATGATGTGTGACTGTATGGTCTATGAAGAAATAATATGAGACTGTGGCAGTGGCAGTGCAAGATCATAATTTTATGTGGGCTAGAGTTGGTCGGATAGTATATACTCGATACTCATGTATCGAATACTTACTAAGATTCGAAGTAATTGAATCCTTCCCAACAAGTACCCAATACTTAAAGTAATCACAAGCATCATTAGATACATAGATACCGATTAGATACTGGAGTAATTAACACGTCACTCACTCACTTCCATAATATTGCTGCATGTACTATAAACTAATAAACTGAAAGTAATCATAACAACTCATTCTCTCACTCTCGAGCACTTAAGTGTGATAAATTATAATAGATGATGTTTGGGTTGTCTATTTCTTCCAAATCACTTACACTTTTATCTAAAATGATTTAAATACCTACACCCCAAAATATAATAAAATCTTAATTGTTTCATAATCTACTAACGAAAGCACTTTAGTCCCAATAATAATTTGGTTCTTTATTTATGAAAAAAATTGAATTATGGTTTGTTGGAAGAAATACTTTATTATTTACGTTGCTAATTTTTGAAACCTAAAAGATTTTTATTTTTATTCAGTTCAATTGAATATTACCATCCGTGGTATAAACTACAAAAATTGCATGTTTGTGTTAATTATCATAATATTTTCGATCAAGATGAGTGACAGAAAAAAGAGTAGAGTGTGGTTACATTTTACCATATTAAATAACGATAAGGCTAAGTGTGATATTTGTAAAAGTGTGCTATCTTACAAAGGTGGTGCTACTAGCAATTTACAAAAACATTTGAAAGCGAAACATTTTGCGGTTTTGAGTGAACAAGTTCCAACAAGTGTGGAGGTTTTTGAGCAGCCTCAGTCATCTCTTCAATTTGAAGCTATGGAGTGTTCAGATGCTTCAAATATTTTAAAAGTTAGTGCTGAAACTGCTGGACCTTCTAGTAGTGCTGGACCTTGTAATAGTAGTAATTTGTACACCCAAGCCGACAAAGTCCAAGTCCGAAAACATCCAATGCAAACTACAATATCAAGTTTCTCTGTACGTCCAGCAAATGCTTCGCGAATAAAAATGTTAAATGAAAAAGTGTTGAACATGATTATTAAAGATTTGCAACCATTTTCTATTGTGGACAATGAAGGATTCAGACAGTTAGTAGCGGCTCTTGATCCATCTTATAAAATTCCTTCGAGAACTACGTTTAGTCGGGATTTAATGGACCGAAAATATAAAGACACTATTGAAAAAGTAAAAGCCCAGTTGAGCCAAGCAGAATTCGTGTGTTTAATCACTGATACATGGACTTCTCCTTCTGTCGATAACTATATGGCAATAACTGCTTATTATATAGATAACGACTGGATATTAAGAACAGTATTATTGGGATGCTTTCATTTTTCAAATCAGCACACGTCAGAAAATCTCAGAAATCAAATAATAAATGTTGTACAAGAATGGGAAATAGCTAATAAGATACAAGCAATAGTGACTGATAACGCACGTAATATAACCAGTGCCATAAAATTAACAGGTTGGTCTCATCTTCCTTGCCTGGCTCATACTATTAACTTGATTGTCCAGGATGCACTAAAATTAATTCAGCCGCTACAACAAAAAGTCAAGAAGATCGTCGAGCGTTTTCATCGAAGCACTACTGCTGCGGAAAAATTTAAAGAAATACAGATGACAGGGAAAAGTTTAAAACTTATCATCGACGTAGTTACTCGCTGGAACTCAACATATCTAATGTTCAGCAGAATCTGTGAGCTTCAAGCTCCACTGGAAGCTATTTTGGGCATTTTACATAATCCTGTAGAAAATCTTCTTGAAAGTGAATGGATTCTTTTGGGTAAATATTGCAAACTTTTAAAACCTTTCGAACGTGTAACTTCCGAATTATCTGCGGAAAAATCGGTATCGGTTGCAAAAATTATACCTTTTGTGACAAGTTTAAAAGATTTTCTACAAGGAATACGTACAGAATGTTCCAGTACGTCCAATATCAAAGACGCATTGATACATGGAATGAATACCAGATTCAATAATATCGAATTAAATACTATAGTTGCAAAAGCTACGTATTTAGATCCTCGCTTCAAAAGAAAAGGCTTTGATAATGCCAACGCAGTGATTCGCGTTAAAGAATCTTTGTCAACAGAGATGCGGAGGCTCCTTAAAGAAGATCAAGAAATGGAAACTTCAGAAATGCAAATTTCAGTTGCCTCTCCTGATTCAGAGAGTGACGAAGATTCCATATGGAAGAGCTTTGATTCAAAAATTTCGAAGAGCCAGTCAACTTTGGCGACTTCAATAATTGAAGAAAAGCAATACACAGAGGAACAGAATATTAAAAGAAAAGAAGATCCTTTAAAATGGTGGAAAACAAGGGAAGTAGTTTACCCTACTTTGGCAAAACTAGCCAAAAAATATTTATGTACAACTGCTACGTCTGTGCCTAGTGAGCGAATTTTTTCCAAAGCGGGTCAGGTAGTGTCAGACCGTAGGAATAGACTCAAACCAAAAAATGTGGAGAGATTAGTTTTTATAAGGGAAATTCAAATTTACTGTAAATAATTATTATATTTTTTTAAGTTAAATTTTTTAGTTTCAATTTTTCAGGAATTCTGATTTTTTCCTGTTTTTCTTTTATTTAGATTTTTTAATTGCTATAATTATTTACTAGGTAGGTTTATTATTTTCTATACACTTAACTAAAGTTAGTAACAAATAGAATAACGTATCTGTATTATAAATAGGTAATTTATTATTTTTTATATTTAATTATTATATTTAATATATACCTACTATGTACTTAATAAATTATTTATATGTATACTCAAGATATTAATAATCTACTATTGTGTACATAATTAATAGAATAATGAGTGTTGTAAATAATTTATAAAGTACCTATATAAAACAATAAAATGTTTTACTAGATACATTTTTATTTTTATTAACAACGAATAATGTTTTATCATATTTTGTTTACTTTTATTTACATTTTATTATATTTTATTTTCTTTCATTTATTTTTATTTTTATTTACATTACTAATAAATGATTTAAAATTTTCCATTTTTGTGTACCTACTAGAAAAGTACATACTGTATATTATACCTAACCCTTAAATCCCAAATTATCACCTTGTCTAAAATACCGACAAAAAATTTAAAACATCTCCATCTCACAGGCAATAAAGATAAAACTAATGGTAGGTAAGTATTCAAGATTCATATGTTTATAGTCAATCAGTACTCTCGAATACCGCCTCGATACCGAAATTTTGTTACCTTATTGTGCTTTATTTAATAATATTTAAACTGTTTATAACTATGTTATGTGTGTAGAACTAAATACAAAATGTTTTGTTATCCTACGTGCACCAGTTCAAAATTTTACCGCACCGTGCCGCCTCTTTCGTTTGACATCGCCAGAAAGTACTTGTAATTACTCGATACTTGAAAAAGTAATCATTGCACAACATTAATGTGGGCAATATACATTGAGGCCCTCTGCATATAAAGATAGATTTTTTAAAGTCATGACATGTGTCATTTCATTAACCTTTTATTCATGGAAAATCTAGTCAAACACAACTAACTTAAAAATTTAATTTTAAATATTGCAGGAACAGAAATTTTGACATAAAACAAAAAAAGAAGAAGAAGGAACAGAAATTTTCTACTTTTCGCACTGCTGAATTGTTTAATTACGAGCTCTAATCTAGCTTGCATGCTATAGCGGCTATAGCAGCCTCAATAGACAAAATTGCAACTGCAGAAAGTCTTTCCTGTGATATTGAACTGGTTAAATAATTATTTTTTAGTTAATTTCTTTTAAGTTATTATCTGTAATGTATTGAAGCAAGTGTTTCACGTCTGTTATAAATTTCTTTAAATTAGGGATCATTATTTGTATTCCAGCTATGAAAATCCAATCCAATCCAATCCGAAAAAACCAAAACGTACCTCAACCTTGCACAATAAATGGGCACATCTTAGAACAGGTCAATAGATTTAAGTACCTGGGATGTTGGATCGATAGCAGCCTAAATCCTGATCAAGAAATAAGATCGAGAATAGAACAGGCTAGAAAATCCTTCGAAAAAATAAAAAAACTGCTTTGTGATTCTCGAATAAAACTCGAAATTCGACTACGTTTATCAAAATGCTACGTCTGGTCGACTCTTCTATATGCAGTTGAAACGTGGACCCTTAAAACATCAACCGTAAATAAATTGGAGGCCTTTGAAATGTGGATCTACCGGAGAATACTCAAAATTTCATGGACATCGCATACCTCAAACGAAGAAGTGCTGCATAGAATAGGCAAGGAAAGAGAACTTTTTAACACAGTAAAAGTAAGAAAAACATCATACCTAGGCCACATACTGAGAAATAATAAGTACCAATATGCCCAACTTATAGTGAAAGGAAAAATCGAGGGAAAGAGAGGCCTAGGAAGGAAAAGACTATCATGGCTCAGAAACATCCGACAATGGACAGGGCTAAATTTTGAACAGCTAATAAGAACAGCTGAAGATAGAGAAGAGTTTAAAATTGTAGTAGCCAACCTCCATTGAGGAGAGGGCACTTTAAGAAGAAGAAGCTATGAAAACCGCAAGGTGTGAAAAATGTCCTAATATTTATATTTAATATTCGAATTTTGACCCTCCTATTTATGCCTACCGCATTTGCACCATTGTCGTATCCTTGGCAATGGCAGTTTTGAATATTTAAACCATTATTTTATAGTTTGTCTAGTATGGCATTACTTAAATACTCTCCTGTTGTCTCACTTAGAGCAAGAAATCCAACAAAGTGTTGTTCTATTGTGCCCGTTGATGTATTACAAAATTTTAAGATCACAGACATTTGTTCTACTTTACTACAGTCTCTAGTGCAGTCAAGCAAAAAAAGAATAATATTTTGCGTCTTTTAATTTGCGAATCACTTCACCAGTTACCGTTTTTGAT